TTAAATAAAAGCAAGAATAAAAATGGAGGAGTTAAAATATTATTAAAAAAATAAAAGGAAATAATTTTTTGAAAAAAAAATAAATAAAATAAAAACGGTCCAAATAATAATAATAATAATAAAAATAATAATAATAATACATATTTAGAGATCTGTGTCATTATTTAAAAAAAAAAACAATTTTTAATTTATTAACAAGATTTTTTTTAAAAAAAATTTTTAATAAAAAAATTAACATTTTAAATACATAATTAATTAATCATCGTTTTATTTATTTTTTTTTTGTAAAAACAAATAACAAAAAATAAGTGGACGAAAATTAATAAAATTTTTTATTAATAAATAAATAAATGGAAAATGTCCACATAATATTAATAATAATAATAATAATAATTAAGTTAAAAAGGAATGAAATAAAAATTTAAAAAAATAAAAAAAAAAAAAAATTAATAAAATTTGTTTTACAAAAATATATAATAAAAAATAATTGAGACCATATTATTATTATTATTCTCAAAAAAAAATTAACGAATCACCTGTAACGATTTATTAAATAAAAAATAATAATAATGATAATTACAATCAATAATTATTTCGGTCTCAACAAAAAAAATATATATAAAAATAAATATGGCATGGATTTTTTATATTGTAACTTTCATTAATACAAAAAAAAAAAATACTTTTAACGGTTTTATGTCTTACAAATAAAGCCAAATTTAAATTTATTTATAATAATAATAATTATTATTATTATAAATAAATAAATTGATTGCGAAAATTTTTTAAGCGCGATATTAGCAAAAGCGATAAATTGAGAGAGAGAGAGAGAGATGGAAAAATTATTAGAAAGCTACAATTGACCTATTAAATGTATAAATTTTTTTTTTTTGTATATTTTTATATCTTTTTTATTTATTTTTTTGTTTGTTTGTTTTTTTGAAAATTTATAATTATGGCGGCTTATATATATATAAAAATATCACAAAGAATCGAAAAAAATTTTTGCATTAAAAGAATTATATATATATATATATATATATTATTAATAAAGACTAGCAATTATTATTATTATTATTTAAAAATTAATGGAACGAAAGGAGGGAAGTTTTTTTGTTTTGTTTACTTTAATTTCGTCATAGAGTAATTAAATAGTAATGTTTATATTTTTTTGTTTTGTAATTTCGTCATAGAATAATAATTAAAGCAAAATAAAAAATATTTAATTACTCTATGCCATGCAACCGTTGTCCAAATGATTGTTTCCGAACGCGTTTGAATAATCGTTACCCGTTCCAAAAACGTCAGTTTTCGTTGTTGTAAAAAAATTATTATTATCTAATAATCCGTTGGGTTTGTAACTGTCGGAATCGTCATTATTGTTATTAGAATGATGATGATGATGATGATAATTACAATTAAAATTTGTTCTATAAATTCCCGTCGATGATTTTTTCATTTCCGTTGTTTGCACTGTTATTAATTTGTTCTTAACACTTTTATTTTCACTTGTTTGAAAATTATTGCTTTTATTTATTCCTAAATTTGTTTTACCTTTGGATTGATAATAAACGGCGGTGGTTGATGTGTTATTGGAATCATTCGACGTGTTGTTTGATGATGATGATGATGACGTCGATGTTGATGACGTTGACGTTGATGACGTTGACGGTGACGATGACGGTGATGACGCTGACGTTCTGGAATAACTTGTCGACATGTTATTTATTAATTTAGAATTAATTCTTTCGGTAACCGTTTGATGATCTATCGGAAAATCTCCCGATGCATCCGAACAAAAAGACGATTGACCGCCATCTTGGAATGAACCGTTAAAAGATTCAGATCCGGCGACATATTCATCAAACGTTTGAACGTTTTCTAACGTCGGCGTCGGCGTTTGTTTAACGCATGTTGCCAAATGCATCGACAACATGTCCATAAGATTCCTTTTTTGCTTTTGTAAATCTTGGATTTGCGATTTCAAATCTATATTTTGCGTTTCCAATATTTCCGATTCGTTAACCAAATTTGCCGTTTTTTCACGTTTTTTCATACGACATTTTGTTGCTGCTATTTTATTTCTTTCTCTTCGTCGTTTTCGTCTTTCTTCGTCTTCTTCCGTTAACTAAAAAAAAAAATTACAATTAAATGCCATTTTATTTAGAATGAGAGAGAGAGAAAAATTGTTCTTAAGTACTTACTTCCTCTCGTTTCATTCTTTTTGATTCAATTTCTTCGAATTCTTCTTTCGTATCGGATCCAGAATGTTTTCTTTTAGTTTGTATCGTTAGTTTTAGTCCTTCCTTGATCAATTGAGACCTCGTGTGTTGAACGCTGGGTGGTGAATTTGATGGACTGCCTTTAATTAAATGAAAATTAATTTTAAACAAATTAAAACGACAAACTTTTTTTCCATTTTGTTTACAACAATATCATACCTAAAGGTGATGCAGTACCAGAATAACTTTCATCACTTTTAGGGCTGTTGTTTCCTTTAGATGGTTTCATAAGAGCATCAAATGGATTTGTCATGGCCACCAAACTGTTGACTATTTCCGGTGTTCTCGGTGTATTACATTGATTATTATCAAGCCCTAGAAAATTCGTCGGGAGTGTTGTCGCTACGTTTACGTTTAAATTGTACATTTTTA